CAGCAATTAAAAAAAATTGAATTTCAATAATAACAGGTTACCCTGTTAGTGATAAACTACAAAGAATGGAAAAAAGATTCGGAGGATGAAAATGATATACAGAGAAATTCTTTCAAAATAATAATTTCCATACTTTTAAATGGACCACAGCATTATACATTATTGGTTTTACCTTTTTGGGATACTTAGATAACACCTACTGGCCCATGTCACTCCAAATTTGAATAGTTGATAGTATATCTTATTGTCATCTTTTTGAATTAGACAACAAACCTTCGTATACCTAAACATTTTTTTAATTTATTTTGGAGATCAATGTATAATTTAGCAATTTGGTTATAAGGATAAATGGGGGAATTGTACACAATCTTCCCTGTATAAAGCTAATAAACCGTGTTTAAAGTGGATCTAGAAAAGCGGCAAATGGATGTGACTCTACCGGGTCATTGGATTTGGCCCATTTTCAACAGGTTGTTACATGTGAGATATAGGCCAACTGAGCAAAGTTTGAACCGAATCGGTCCAAGCGTTTGCCAGCTATCGTGTTCATAGACAGACATCATCCACTCCCTTAAAACCATTTTTTCTAAAATTTGTAACTATTTTTCGGAAATTGAAGCAATATACACTTTCCACAGTCAAAAATACCATACGCATGAGCAGAACCAACCAGATTTATGGAGCGATTTTTAAAAAATTAAACTAAATTGGACGTATAGATTAATAGGTCGAACGATTTGATGGATATTAAATTGAGACTTGAGAGTTGTGGTGGTACTTATTTTTGGTAATGTCACGGCAGCTGATGTTCTATCGCCTTTTCCATGCTTGCGTACTTTATTACTTGTCATCTTAATTTTAGTAGAAGTCTTAAAAGTAGTTATCTCCAAGGTTATAGTAACTATTTTAAGAAAAATGTTCCTTTATGTGTTCTATTGTTTGAAAATAAATTTTATAACCTGTATAGCCTCGTTTGTGATAAAAAGAGTTTCCTTCACGGTGGAAATTATTGATTTTATATCCAATTTAGAATTTCAGTTTGAACTAAAAAACCTTATGAATTGTGTAATTTAAACCTTTTTTTCTCAAAATTTAGCTCTTCCGTGGAAAATCATGTAACGTCAAAATAAAGAAAACAGCAACAAACAGAATTACTTAAGTCTAAAAGTATCTCCTAAATCATTGGAAGTACTGAAAAGATGCAAACCTGGTCTGTTATACTATTAAACATATACCTAATTTTATACGGTTATGGTCTGTCTGTCTGACGTTTTTAAAAAAATGGCTGGGGCTAGCACAGATACCACCCGCACGATGAAATAGTTTAGCCATAATAGTGAAAGAGGTCAAAAATTGACAGTTTTTTATTACTTTGACACACTTGCGCATGCGCGATTGTACCCATATCTTGTCAGCTCTTCCTTTTATGTCTAAGATTATGTGTACCAACTTTGGTTCCAATCGGTTCAGCCGTTTAGTCAGAAATGAGAGTACCGACAGGCAGACCGACAGAATAGCGATTTTGTTTGTATCGGATTCCTAAAATTGTGAAACAAAGCTAATGCTTCAAATCCGAGCATTCTACGATGATTCCTTCCAGAGTTATACTTAAAAAACCTTTGCAGCCAGACCGACCGACAAACCGAATAGTCAAAGTGAATACATAAGAGCTACTTTTTTTCAAAAATGCGCTAAAAATTGTTCAGGGATTTGTAATGATATCTGCTTAGGCCTTTAATTGCAAAACTGTTCTCCCATTTAACCAAGGTTGTATCTCTTACCCTTTCTAGAAAGCTGTAATGGTATAGTTACAGTTACAGGGGTCAGAAACCCCTCTTGTAGAAAATGTTATTCTCTACGACACTGACAAAAATTTTACTGTAACAATTGTATAGCACTAATAACTAACACCGCTATCTCTAATTTCTATTCTAATTAATTATCTAGATCTCTATATCCGCAAATAATCATACACCCAGTACTTTGCACTCAGTTATCGATTTTTAAAGATGTGCTATTCCTTTTTATTCAGCCCGGGTCTTCTCAACCTACCGCAGAGATATGTCCAGTAGCAGCATGACTAGTGTTGGAACTGCACTGCGCTCAGACAGAACACCGTGCTGTGCAGTGAGACGCGCCGAAGCGTTCTATTGTTACCGCTGTGGGACTGCTGGAGTGACGATGAAGATCCCTGAAGTGTTAGGGAAACAAGCACGGGGCAATGAAGGATCTCGTCTCGCCTCCTCCGAATAAGACGATTTCTCAATTAAATTCGACGATACATCCGGATTTTCCCATCCTGAGTTGCATTTTGGCCATTACGAGACAGATAGTCACCTCTATCCCAATATTGTCGTTTTCGGGGTGCTTATTCAAGGGTTATTGGATACGGGAACCTCCAGAAACCGTTGCAAGGACACGGCCAAATGAATCTCCCAATTCAACTGGAAGACTGGAAGTTGTGGCAGCAATCGTAGTGATAGACTTACCACACACTTTTACGCTGGCGCGTAATAAGAATCGTACCCGATTTAAGGAAAGGATTATGGCGTCTTTCCAGCACTGAAAAACTGCCCATGTAAATTCCATTGTTGTCAAACCATTTCTCAAATCTGATGAACAACAACGCGAAGCGATTCTTAGGATGCACTGTTATACGACCCCAACGCACTTATGCTATTGAACACCATATACGAGTACAAGGTGAACCCAACAAGCCACGTACTTACCGTGTATTGCCTCAACTCCAAGAAAAGATCGATGGTGAGGTACAATATATGCTAGCTTTTGATATCATTCAGTCGTCTTCGTCTGCGTAGTCTTTGCCAGTTACGGTTCCGAAGAAAAACGGGAGCTATATTTTAGGCCCGACTATCTCAAACTTAATAAAGTCACACAGAAGGACCCGTATCCGTTACCCTTTGTCGAAACCATATTGGATAGCTTGAGAAATACCAAGTAGCTCATTAGATGTGAAATCTTCCATTTGGCAAGGACTTGTAGCGTAGCTGAAGACCGTACATAGCGTTCACAATTCTGGGCCCAGGGACCGTTCCAATTCAAGAGGATGCGCTAATAGTCATACCACGTTTCAGCGTTTAGTAGGAGCTTTCTTGGAAGACAAATGCAAATTCTGTCTATCTGAATTGCTTTATTTCCGATGTGTCATTGGCCAACTATTCAAATAAATTTACGCTCCTCTGGATGCTAAATAAAAAATTTAAAATCCACACAAAAGACAACAATCAGACAAAAACTGACAAATCACCACGTTCGTAAACCACTCTCGGGGATGGCGCTCAGATGTCGCCGACCTCATATCATATTATAGCGCCGTCCCTAAAAACGTTAATTAGACGGCTCCGACCGTAATTACACGTACACTCCTCATCTTTCTATAAACGATCTTCTACGGGCCCTCAGCTACTACACGAAGAATTTTTTCTTAACTACGCCACTTTATATTAGTTAACTCCTAAGGGCGACTCGTAACGCATTTAAAATGCACTCAGTAATAAATTTTGTCGAATTCGCCTATTGAAAGTTCTGAAACGGAACCACCGCAACGAAAGCGCAAGCGTTCACTCTGATTTTTTTGTATACGCAAAGGTATAGCCGATATTAGTCCTCCGTACGTATGATAACGTTTCAACTCTTATCTGCTTGAACACTCGAATATTAGTTCTGTTCTCTTTCATTACGAAGCGGTACAACAATTTCCTCTACCGGCAAATTGGTAAATTTAACAATAAAATCTTTAAATCATAAAGCGACCACCTGTTACAATTATAAGCACTTATTTATAACATAATTATTCTGCACAACTGTGAACTTATTAGTACCTAATTAAACATTGCTCTGTCTTCCACAAATGCCTACTAGTAAAAACAGCAGGTTGTGCTCAATTTTGGAGAAGAGATTGAGGACGAGGACGTGGACATCTTGCGAAAGTTACAATCATTTTAAGAACAATTCATGAATCTTTTTGCGCCCACCCACGATCTATAGACGCTAGAGATACCTAAACAATCCTGCACTGATACAGACCTTTTTATTATATGCTACCTACACGGATTGATTTTATATTTTACTGTTAGGTTATTTATTTTATTTATTTTATTTATTTTATTTATTTTATTTATTTTATTTATTTTATTTATTTTATTTATTTTATTTATTTTATTTATTTTATTTATTTTATATATTTTATTTATTTTATTTATTTTATTTATTTTATTTATTTTATTTATTTTATTTATTTTATTTATTTTATTTATTTTATTTATTTTATTTATTTTATTTATTTTACTTATTTTTTGTCATTATTTTTAAGTGAGCGGGGTTTCAGCCACCCAAGCCAACCCACTATACAGACAAATATCTATGTCCGAACGCGGATTCTAATCGGGGCCCTTAGTGCCGCAGTCGGGATTCGGTCAATTCGAGTAAAATTGCAATTTCATACGCTACTCTTACTTCACATTCTTCTTGATGCATTATCCACCAATACAACACAAATAACAAGTAGTGCATGTATATGAAATGAAAAGAAAGTTGCTCTGCTGGGAATGCACAGCTGTGAAACCTCCGGTTGTAGGTCACCAGCTTTGGTTTTATTGCTTTCGAGAGATGAAAAAGTTTGGGTAAAATGTACTCCATTACTTACGTTGGCCATAGTGTAAGAATCTACGCTTTGGCTAGTGCAAAATTTTCCTAAATGGAAAAAATTCAGCGTTAAATATTTACGAAGGGCTATCTGGATTATATGGAAGTGAAAATTTTCCACTAACACTTGTCAGGCGTTCCAAATTACTGGAAAGCTTTTCGACATCTATTATGAAACTTAAAGGTCAGCTGGAGCATATTACTTTGGGAGTTAACGTATGAATTAGTTAGTTACGTGAAGCTCAACACGACCAATGTTAACACCGGCACGGACCGACAGTGCGAATGCGCAATTTTGTGGGAAAAGCTCGAGGAAATCAAAACTGCTTTCCTCGCGAAAGCTCTTTCAGCTTCGTCTGAAAACCAATATGAACGATCTATTTTGACTCCCCTTCTGCTGAATAGATTTACTTCGTTCAGTATTCTGAACGTGTTCCGCGTTGAATGTGTGCGGCGTCGAGGAAATCCTCTAAGGCTGAAAATCGCACATGCTAATATCGATCTTGGGACACAGAAAAGAAACGAGGATTAATTTAAACGTATAATTTAATTGATATGTGTGATTTGTTGTAATTTAACGTTTGAACTATGTGTTCCGCTCCGTTTCGGTTGCGCGTAACCCTCAAATTATAAATATGGGTTAAATATTAAATCGATATCAAAAAATATTCGTATTTATATAAATGTTGTGAGAATAAAGCCAAAGCTCAAGATTTGTTCTATTTTCCTATATAAAGTCGAGCGTCTTCAGTCCACTTGTACCTCAGCCTAATTCTTAAACGTTAATAAATCGTTTTCGTACTAAAAATACGTATACGAACGACATATGTAAAATTTCGGAGTTATTTATAAATAACGCGTACGTATTTAATTGCTCTGCGAACATTCCCATACAACAAATTTCTGTACCTCAACCGTGAAAATGGCAAACGCGAAATCGACGGAGATCACGAAAAATGGACACGAACTCGCGCCATTAAACAATACGCGCCAAGGTCCTGACGGCGGACGTCCCGGTGTTACCATAGTACTACAAGGACCTCGAGGATCAATTATCTCTCGTGGGAGCGGTGCGGCCGACCAAGATCCTGATCGGGCAGCATGGTCCGGAAAAATGCAGTTCTTCCTATCAATTATAGGATACTCGGTTGGTTTGGGAAATATTTGGAGGTTTCCTTATCTTTGCCAACAAAACGGAGGAGGTAAGCTGAATCGATATGTTAACGTACCCTCGTTTTGTGTTACGTTAAAACGCACACACGTAACTGTCCTTGATTTCGCCGTTTTTTAAAATAAAATGTATAAACGCCCGGCATTTATGACCACAATATGTGATGTAATCCAAATCTCGAATAAATCAATCTAAAAAAGCAAATTTCTGATTAGAATACCGTGAAATATTGACAAAAGAGTGAGGTGGAATATTTAGGGCGAAACCTAAGAGGTGACTCACAGTCAAATTACCTACTGTACCCGATAATTAACCACGTCTTAGCACAAGTGCGTATTAGCACCCAGACATTAGCCGAATCCGTACAAAGTAATGTTAACAAAAGGTAAATGAATGCTAATTATATACTTTCTGTTTACTACCAAAGCCAGATTGAACTTTGAAATGAAAATTAGTGAAACGGGATTTTGTAGCAGGGTATTGTCATCACCTACATTAGAATCAATTAGCATTTTTGTGCGGCACCTCAATTATCCTAATTTTTTGCAGCCACGCGAACATACGAGTCTCATTTTTATGAAATAATGTACTGGAAATTATAGTTATTTTACAATTAATAGATTGGAGAGAGCACCATTTACAAATTTAATATTAAATGGAAACGTAGATGGTATTCATTTGGTGTAATCAATATTAATTTTCCATCGGAAATTAGACAAACGACTCGTGTGGTTGCAGTAGTTTTCCCGAAATACAAGAGGAGCACCATCTACACACGCCACAATGTAATTCATCGCAGAATTCAATACAACCCCGTATAATTCCACCCCAATTTCTCATCATACTACCTCAATTTGGTTTATTCTTGCCATCATTCCGTTTAATTCCACCAGAATTCTATTTAATTTCACCATCCCAACGAAAAGTTTCATTATTATTCGAGTCGTCCTCCTCACCACCACACCATTGAATTGGAATTTCATTGATAACTTCTTCAAAAGTGCTTTTCTTTGCTACCATAAAAAATGCTTTTGAATAAGACCGTTTAAGAAAAAGTATAAATTACTACATATTTATGTTCGCATTTATTTAATTCAATTAGTAATTCAGTAAATGGCAAAATATCAAAGAACATTTCCTTTTGGGATTTCATTACTAAATGTAATAAACGTGTAAACAAATATAGAAAACGAGCTCCTGGGTATGGCTATAGCATGTGCAAAACCAAGTTTTGAACTTGGTGTTAGTTTTGCTTTTATTCCAAATGGCTATGTATAAAATTTCATTTAAATCCTTCCATAAATAAGAAAGTTGGCACTGCGCATGCGCAAAACCAAATTTTGAAACTGGCGTTACATTTGCTTTTATTCCAAATGGCTATGTATCAAATTTCATTTAAATGCTTTCATAAATAAGGAAGTTTGCAATCCGGCTTGTAAATGGTCGAGATGCGAAAAGTGCACTGTGAATGTTGATCGATTAGGCTCAACTTTTGGAATTGCGTATTGTATGGCCAAAGCTATGTCCATATTGAATTTCATGCAATTCGGTTCATAACTCACAGAGATGTCAAAAGGGCCTTCCTTATTTTTTGGGATACATTGCCAATTCACGAAATTTGATATCCACCTACAAAATTTCATTCAGCCCATTCGTTATCGAGATATCGTGGTAACGGGCGGACGGACAGACGGACAGACACCGCAAAATTATAAACACGCTAGGAGCTCGTTAATAATCTATAAAATATGCATATTTGTTAAATAAATGAAATGAAATAAAATAAATCTCAATGAAAACACTTTTTAGGAGCTTTCCAATTATATATCGCAAGTGGGAGGTTGAAATTCAATGCTTTGAAGGTGAGGGGAGTAGTTCGATGTAGGTAACAATATTGTACGTTCAGACTGGCCTCCTCTCTATTACGAAAACGGACATCGAGATCACTAATAGGAAAACGATCGTTTCGTTACAATACACGTGGCCAGTAAAAAGACATGAAAATATCTTTTTAGCCATTGAGATGGTGCATTTGGACGTTTTCGCAATAAAACTGATGACAACTGTTTTCACATTTCTTTGGTCACCATACACGTAGCCGGCCACTTTTAGACTTAGTCACAGTGATTTCACCCTTAGTGAAGTTTGAGAAAGCCTTATGTATACAGATCCCATTCCATCCACACTATTCCAGGAAATCCTGCCATTGCCGAGGGGTAAACCACTGAGCAAAAACGTGTACACCAGAATTCCAAAAGTGCAAAATAATTCCAGAATTTCAAAAAAATTCCATGAGACTTTCAAAAAACTGCCTAAACTGCAAAAGAATTCCATAGAATTCCAAAAAATTCCATTGACTTCCAAAGATATCCAGTGACTTCCAAAGAATTCCATTGAATTCTAAAGAATTCCAATGAATTACAAAGAATTCCATTGAATTCCAGTAACTTCCAAAAAGAATTCCAATTAATTCCAGTGACCAAAAATAAATTATGCTTCTTGCAAAACGTAAGGTACGTCAACATATTCGTATCCATTCGATTATAGTAAAGAGCATGTCTTTGTTATATAATACGGATCCTATATTATATTATTAGCATAATAAAATTACGACACGCAATCAAGATGCTTTTAGGAAAAGCAAACGTATAGCATATTGTAAGCATCAGATTAATATGCGCATGCGCAGGATGCGCAATATCCACTGTCTTATTTATCGAGATATCTTCGAGGATATCTTTTTGAAATTTTAATCACAGATGCTTCTGTCGTTAAAGGCAAACATATCAGATATTGCAAACATTAGATGTGCGCATGCGCAGTCAGTGACAACTTCCTTATTTATATGTTTGAAATTTTAACCACATTAGCCTCTAGTACAAGAAAAACAGCGCACATAGCTACTTTTGAGAAGTACTGCTCAATTCATGGAAAATGCCTTGAAGTTACTCGCCTTAGGGAGAAAACCTTTTAACTTGTTTTGATAATTGAATAATATCATTTACGTTAAGTTGATATTAATGTTGTTAATACAGAGCACCTTTACATATAATGATTTTTTTTTACAACATTTATGGAAACATCGAGGGAAAGCGAGGAGAAAAGTTACTTTTATGACTGTGAAGGTCAGTACTCAGTAGCGCAAAATTTTAGTAATAAATAAATTTTCATGATTTTACGGAAAGTTAGTTCTTTATCCCCACTTATAATCGGAAAATTAAAACCTTATGCTCTGGTTTCATTACTTTCACATAAATACTCATATAAATTGACTTGTTTGAATATATTGTTGAAAATAGTCTCGTTCCAACCACGGTTTTCTCTACACTTTTTGGTGATTTAAAATATTGATGTACTCATAATGTAAGTAGTGTAATTCTTACACTATGATGTACTTCATGTAACTAATACAAAATAAAGTTTAAATTCCTATATCGTGATCACATTTCCAGCTTAATTAATTACCTACATTTTTAATAATTCGTAATTAATAAAACAGGAATTAATTGTCTTTAGCCTATCGGTTTCCACTTAATTCAAACTCTTATTAGCACCTCGTATAAAAAAGTAGGTGCACACATTTGATCGATAAACTGGTTTTTTAACGTAACTATCCACTCCACATATAGCACAATGAAACGTTTTGCACCTTGGATCTCAACACTTTCGTGGTACCTAACAATTTATTTAAATGAGAGCACGTTAATACGATAATACTACGAAACGAATTTGTACGTTTACGCTTTAAGAAGTAACACTTCGTACCATTCACGGTTGAAAGTTATATCAGCCGACCGGTCGACTCCGCTACGTAATTACGTTTCGGTTACTTATTAATTATTATTAACATACTTGTAATGACAATTCGTCACGAATTTAAAACATATCCCTCACAATAATTAGAAAGCACAATTTTTCGGTTATGCGGCTAACGATCCTTTTATATACTGCGGTCTCGACTACGGTTATACGGCTTTTCAGTTCTTTCACTTGAAAACGAATCTTCACGCGATCTCAAAAATGGCGCATACAACTAACATGGTTCGCCTTAAAAGCTTGGCGAAGAATTTCGTGTTACGCGTTCTGCGCTTATGTTGCCTCGAAAGTTTCGCAGAATGCAATACGTAATCGAAAAATGGCGTGTTCGACCTGCATAGATTCGCTCCGAAAGTTTAGCGGAGAATGTCCCACCCAATTTTTACTTATGTACTCGTGCTCAAATGATGAAACGACCCCAACGAAAATCAAGCGTCCACTCTCTTTTTTTATAGATGCGAAGGTATAGCAAAAACACCGTCCCTCATTCTCCGTCACGACGGTTTTTAGAACCAGCAACACTGTAGGGTTTCTACTCTTATCTGTTTGAACACACGTTCTTCTCTTAACACGCTTTATTTTCTTGCATTGTAGTTCCGTTCTCTATTTTTATGAAGCGGCACACCTATAAAATTTGCTACACCGGCAAAGCAGAGATTTTAAATTTTTTTAAATATTCTGTTTAATAGTTTTAGACATTCTTGAACTATTTGTAGGATCCTCTACATGTACATCTCTACATATTTTAATTACATTACGCCTATTTGAACTTCATTTGCGTTTATTGCAGTCATTAATGTGTTGATATAGATTCCTTTGTATTTTTGTAACTTTATTTTAAAACCGTTATGACGTAAATTTTACAAATTAGCATGTTATCGACAATTATTACTTCAAACGTGCCAACATCAGCTGCAAATATGAGTTTGTTTTGGAATAACATTTACTTTGGCCTGTTTTGTATAGATTTTATCCAACTTAAACAAGAATAAATCATTTCCTACTCCGCTAGGTTTCTATATTATTTTGCTTTCGCCACATTTTGAAAAAAATACAACTTTTTATTCAAATTTGCATTTGCACATGGCGTACATGACCATAACTAAAACTGAGTGACTACCTACTAAAAATTGTTTTACCTTCAAAGGAATGTGACGGTTTTGGAATATAAGTAGGTAACTAATGTTGTGGTGTTATCAAACACGAACTCTGAAG